AAAAAGATGAAGAGGCACTCTTAGCCTATGGGGTGTCTGAGATTGAGACTGTTGTGCCTGATGGTGTCTCCCCAGTCGAATGGAAGAGAGTTTTAGCATTGGTCAAGAGACTTCATGTCCGAGCCGGTCATCCCTCCACAAGAAGTTTGGTTGCCACCCTGAAAGCGAGAGGAGCACATCCCCTCATCACCTTGGCGGCCAAGTACATGCATTGTGATGACTGTGCAGAGACCAAGCGATCAGTTCCTGCAGCCCGAGCGAGCTTTAATCGTTCGGACACTCAGTGGCACACCTTGCAAGTTGACAATGCGTACTTCAAGGTAGGCACCAAGACGGTGACCGCCATGATCATGGTTGACGAGGCTTCTACTTTCATGGTACCCCATCTCCTACATCGGCTTGACGAAGGAGAACATGAGAATGCCACTGCTGAACAGGTGGTAGATGCCTTGCAGAACTCCTGGATTCGATTCTTTGGACATCCTTCGGTTCTTCGACTTGATCCCGAAGGAGCCTTTCGCTCGCGGTTGCTAGAAGACTTCTGTGGCACCCGTGACATCGAGCTTCAGCCTTGTGCAGCTGAAGCCCATTATCAGATCGGTGTTGTGGAGCGTGCCATTGGGACACTAAGGAAATCGGTGGAGCGCTTCCTTCGCAGCAACGCAGTTGATCCCTGGGAGGCCATTGTGACCATGTGTGCTGCTCATAATGAAGTTGGAAAGATTGCAGGTTTTTCCCCAGCTCAATGGGCACTGGGACGTTCCTTGGGCATCGATGAGAAGATCCATGAGAGCGGAAGAGAAGCTACGAGTTTCCATGAGTCTCAACGAGCTTCGCAAGACAGAGTGCAAAAGACCATGGTCCTTCGTCTCAAGGCTGAGCAAGAGTACAAGAAGAACATGGCTCAAGAGGCCATCAATCGAGCCTGGAACTCCAAGGCTCAAAAGCGTGAGATTTGGACTCCTGGCACACTCGTTTACTACAAGCGGTATAAGGCACCTTCCACGTCTTTGGCTTCACACAAGGATGTTGATGTGACAAGACGACAAATAGCTCGCTGGTATGGCCCAGGTCGTGTGGTCGCTACTGAGAGCTTCTTGGATGGCGACTCAGCGAGGCCTGGTCACATTGTCTGGATTACTGCTGGTGGTCGCTTGAAGCGTGTTGCTCCTGAACAATTGCGCCTGGCTAGCGAGACAGAGAAGATTCTGGCTGAGGCTGACGGTCCACCTCGCTTTGACTGGACCATTCAAGGTATGCTGCAAGAAGTTGATCGTGGACAATTTGATGTTTACGATGATCTGTTGCAACCGAGCCCTGCGACTCCGGCCCGGCGATCTCGAAGCGCAGCGCCACCAGTGAGAGGCAGCTCAGCTAGGAGTAGGACCCCTGTGATGAAAAGAGAAGAACCAACAAGATCGCATGTAGATCCCATAAGCCGCAAAAGACCTCAAGAAAATTCGGATGTTCGACCATTAGGAGATTCGAAAAGAAAGAGCGGCAAAGAGATGCCACTAGGGACTGGTCAGGCACAGTCGGCATCGGGTTCAGTGAAAGGGACATCACACCCTGGAGGCTCTAGAATGGTTTCTCTTGAAGCGACTCCTAACGCCCCATCCTTAGCTAGCTCAGATTTTTCGCCCGGCCGCTATCTCAGCGACCCTTCCTGCGAATTTCCAACTAGCCATGGAGCTGCTGGCAAGAGCTGGACTGGCGAGCTCAAACGCAATGAGCTTTTCAAAAAGGCCCAAGAACGGCACGGTGAAGCGAAGATGGTTGAGGAAACCTCATTTGCTTGCGAGTCTCTTCAACCGGAAGATGATCAAGGTGAACCTCCTTTGTTTGTTGCCATGTCTCTGGAACTGCCCACAGATGAAAGGAGCATGAAGCAGTTCAAGCGAGACCCAGTGACTTGGACAGCGAACAAGCTGAAGAAACATGTTGAAGTGAAGATGGAGCATCTTACTCCAGAACAAGTTGAAGACATGAAGAAGGCCAAGTCTTTGGAAGGTGGTCAATGGATCCAAGCGGCTGCCTGCAAAGCTCTTGAGGAGCACCAGATCGCTCCTCGCAGCCGGACCATGCGGATGCGCTGGGTTTTGACCTTCAAGTCCTCTGGCGCAGCGAAGGCTCGAATAGTGATCGTAGGTTTTAGTGACCCAGACCTAGGAAGCCTCAGTACGACTAGTCCATTAATGAGTAGACGCACTAGACAACTCATGATGACCATGGCTTCTTGTTGCGGTTGGTCACAAGTGAAATGCGATGCCAAAAGCGCATTCTTGCAGACCAGCGAGAACACTGAGGAACACCGGAGTGTGTTCGCAGTGCCAGTTCCAGAGCTGGCAATGGCCATGGGAGTTGAACCAGGCAGGGCAGTCCAGGTGGTTAAAAGCTGTTATGGTCTTTGCAATGCCCCTCACCAGTGGTACCTCGAGGTTAGAAACAAGATCCTTGAATTAGGAGGTGAGGCTTTGAAGACGGAACCCTGCTGCTGGAGGATCAAAGATCCTTCCACGAACTCGGTCGTTGGCCTTGTAGGAAGCCATGTGGATGATTTCTATATGATTGGGGACGATGGAAACGAAACGTGGAACTTGTTTTTGCATCGTTTTAAGGCTTCATATCGTTGGAGTCCTTGGGAGTGTGATTCATTTGACCATTGTGGAGTTCAATTGCATCAAACCCCAAGCAAAGAAATCATTTTGGATCATGCAAAATTCTGCACTGGCATACAGCAAATTAGCATCACCACTAAAGACCCGAAAGCACCAGCCACTCCTCAAGAAGTTGAGCAACTTCGAGCCGTTTTGGTCGCGGCACAGTGGCGTGTGGTCCAGTCTGGACCCCAACACGGGGCCAAGTTGAGTCAGTTGCAAAGCAGGGTCACCAAAGCCGATGGCCAAACATTGGCTGAAGCGAACAAATTGGTGAGAGAGATTTACAATGATCGCACGCTTTCTCCTAAAACCCAAGTGTTGGAGTGTTCCCCTGAAGAGGTTGAATTTGTTGCTTGGAGTGACGCTGCTTTGGCCAACAGGGTTGACATGGGTAGTACTGGTGGTTACGTGGTTGGTGCCACTACCAAAGACCTTCGAGAAGGAAAGAAAGCACGC